TAGCCCCCGAAATCTAATAGTCCTCTTGAAGCTAGTCCCTTTGGTTAGTAGTTGTTTGGTCTAGTGCGGAGCATTCGTTTTATTCCAGAATGAAAGTTGATCCAGCCTAGTTTCAATCAAGCTATCCTTATCATGTCGGATTAGAAGTTCAATATCTATTATCCGCATTCATTTCATTTCGGATGCAGTTACGAGTCGAGTCTGAATAATATTACTCTATAAGTTCTCATTTCGGATGCAGTTACTAATGTCTCTAAGTACTTTAGGCCTTGTATATTCCTTCTTTAAACAACACATGGATAAATCTAAGTCAACTATATATAGAGGCATATGCATCATGCTCGGAATTGATTATACCGTTCCCTCTATATAGTCTAGCATGGGTCATAAAAAATCTGAGAAATATTCGAAACAAATTATTATGGCTAATATCAATTTAATTTTTATTTCGGAGGCAAGGAAGTTTTTAACTTGCTAAATAGGCACAGAAAAGTTTTTTTTCCCCTCAGATAAATAGTACTCCTCTCCAACTAGTAAAACAAGCGATCATCATGATACGTTCTGATCAGATCATTGAACTTTAACCAGAGTATATCATTGATAAACAAAATATTATAAGAAACATCCTCATTAATCAATAAGTCATACAGATATATATGACACAATATCAAGATATTCTTCCAAAAAAAGAAAAAAAATTCATGACAGAAAATTCTCATCACCATCCTCCTCCATGTGCAATATCCACAAAAGTCATAACAACTCTTGACACCTCCCATATATTCTACATTTAATTATAATAATTATAGTGATTGTCATACCAACCTCAAGTATGCAACCTCTAATTTCAGCACATATCCCTTACATTTTGTTTGAGTAACACATTGACAATTATTCTGGCCTTGTTTCTACACGCAAAGGCATGTTACTTACAATTAACAATCAAATAGTCCAGTCGATGATTTCGTATTTATTAATAGAGTAGCTGATGATTTTGTATTAATTAACAGAGTTTGAATACTTCAAACATTTCTGCATTCTGAGAGTACTGATCATGTACTTGTTATCCACTAATTGTGGCAATGTGAACCAAAAACATTCCCCTCACCTCCAATCACTGAAATTCTCAAAGCTATAATTGTAATCTTTTTGTATGTTAGTAGTCCACTAATGAAATGATTAAACTAAGTTGGTTATGTCATTATAAATAGAGAAGATGAGGAGAACCATTGACACAGAAAAAGAGCTAAGGATGGCTAATTTCAGAACTAGAGGTGCACTTCTCATGTTTCTGGCATTGCTTATCTCCACGCTCAGACGCTCATCGGCAGTCTGGGCTCCTGCGACCGCTACCTTTTATGGCGGAAGTGATGCATCAGGCACAATGGGTAAGTAATTCACCTTACAAGTGTACTCGAAACCTTTGATCATTGTTAGGAAAAGAAATAATGTTTGTTCATCTTCATAGTAGAATGCTTGTGATGTCCTATATGTACGGATTAGCCTTTGTACAGGAAACAACAACTCAAACAAAGAAAATTTTGGTATGCAGGTGGAGCTTGCGGATATGGAAACCTATACAGCGATGGATATGGCACTAAAAATGCGGCACTGAGCACTGCTCTGTTCAACAGTGGGGCAACCTGCGGGGCGTGCTATCAGATTGTGTGCGATGGCACGAAAGCGCCGCAATGGTGCAAGAGGGGGCTCGTAACAATCACAGCCACAAATTTCTGCCCAC